TACTAGGGTCATGGCCTACTTTGTTTAGCCTATTTAGTAACTTCATATTCTATAATTTTATTATTGCATATATTTTGCTTTCTTGTATTTTATTTAATTTCATAATAAGATGTGAAAATAAAGGCCTCAAATCTTAATATTTGGCAATGAGTTTCAAGTTTTGCGTGTTAGGAAAAAGAACATTGTCTACAATATTAGGATTTTTTTTACCTTTTCAATTTATATTTATAATATACCTTCATTGACTTTTCATTGAAACATTTGCAAAAATTTTTAAAGTAGTTATCCTTTATGAAAGCTCATATTTAAATCATTTTGGGAGATTTAGTAGCCTGGGTGAGTCGCAATTTTTAAAATGATGATGCTGAATTCTGGTTAAGAACCACTTGCTCAAGGTGTTTTAAAAGGGGGTACTATGTCATAAATTAACTGCAAGAATGTGTCATAGCTTATGACAATAGAAAAGTTATTATACTTGTTGTTATGTATGTGTTAGAATCTTAAATAAAAAATAAATACATATCAGATTTTATAAATTATTTTTTAGCACTAAAGTATTAAATTTCCTATTATCTTGAGTAAGACAAAAATAGCTCATAATCTGATGTCAGAGTTAATCTGGAACCTTTCTGCTTTCTTTCCACGAGCCCATTTCAAAGTTATTCTTTTCATTTAAATATTTTTAAATATTTGGAAAAACTTTGTGAATTGTTCTTTAAAGGATTTTCAGTGTGTCAGTAATCACCTTGCTACATTAAGAAATAATTTTTTTTTCAACATTATAACTTAGTAACATAGATCAAGACTTCTTAAACACTAACCTTCACCAACCCAAGGAGAGTTTTTTCTCATGATCAAATGATACTGCACACATTAGAGAAGTCATATAAAAATTCAAATCTTTAATACAAACAGAGAATCCAAATCATAGAGACAGCAGATGCACAGATAGCAGCAGACTTCATAACACCCACATTAGCATCTATCTCTTCCTTCATCTGAGCATGTTCAATTTGAATTCCCTATTTAGTTCTTCAGATAAATGGATCATATGATGCTTTCTAATGACCATGTTACATGCTCTGCTGTGTTTTAAATGTCTTCAATTCTTCTGAGGCTCCTGGATATTCAAAATGAAATGGCTCATTTGCAGATAGTCTGAGCATCGCATTCTTAAAGAACTAACTGAAGCCACTGAATGGAAAGTAACCAAATACAGTAACTTTGAAAATTTTAAGCATGCTGCTTCTTAACTAGAAGCTGTAATATTATTACACATTCCTTCATCAAGTTTTTTTTAAGGAGCATTTATGAACAAGGTCTCTTCTTTTCTGTATGCTATTTTGTTGTGATACCTTGGCAAACTGAGGTGAGGTGCTGGCTGCAAAGTTCTTCTTTCTTTCATTATCAAAATGGATGACATATCTCAGTTTGAAGGTCTCTAGCCTCCTCAAGCTATCTCAGTATCTCACTCTCATCTCATTTGTAGACAAAGACAATGCTGTGTGTTTACCAAATTCATTTCATTTTTCTCTTCCTAGTGACACAGGAAGACTACACATTTCTAGCCTCTTCTATGTCTCTATCAGGACCTCAGAGCTAGTTCTGACCAGTGAATTGTAAGTGAAAGTAATGAGTGTCATATTTAAGGTGAAGCACAGAGCAACAGGAAGCCACACATTTCAGATGGTCAAGCTACAGAAAAGCAAGCCCCTATGTTGGACATGTGGCATAAACAAGAAATAAGCCTTGTTATATGAAGCTACTGAAATATTGGGGTTATTTGTTAGCACAGCATAGCTTATCTTATTTTGATTAATATATATGATGACTGCAGCAATCCCACCAGGTTCTCAATGTCAGTTTGATATTTCATATATTATAAATACACTCTACTAACCACTCTATTCAACTGTCTCCTTGTGCCGAGGAAAATCCAAGGGCTGAACATGCCCTACATTTTTATCTATTTCCTGCAAACACCTTGTTAAAAGGATGATTCATAGTCCTCCTTGGCTGGAGAAGATCAGAGCCTACAAGGGTAAAAGAGGAGTTAAAGAAAGATAAAATTAATGGTTCTTAACCTATTTTTTGTGCATCAGTATCACCTGGTAAGTTTACTCCAAGTGCAGATCTGCCCCACCTTCAAGATCCTCATTTAGTTAATTTAGGTCAAGAAATACGCATTTTCATATGAACCCAAAATGGTTCCAATGCGGATGCATCAAGAAATACACTTTGAGAAGGCTGGACAAGACCCTAATTGAGGCTCTCTCCCCTTACAATCTGAACAATGATATAGAAAATATGGGAAGTGTTTTTTAAAGAGTTCTCATAGGTAGCAGTTTTTCAAATTTGACCCAAGGAATAACTTATTTGACTTATCAAGTGCACATTTTGAAAATGCACACTCCTTGAAAATGAATGCCTGGTACCTAATGAATCAGTCTCATTGGGGGAGAGGCCTGCCCCAGGACATTTATTTTAAGATGTCCTCCAAGTCATTCCTAGATGCACAAAAGTTTGAAACCAGTGCCATAGGAATTGTTTGTCCTTCTGTGCATATCTTTATTATTAGTTCAATTTATTATTTATGACTTTTTCTGAACTTGATTCTTAGTTTTCCCAACTACTTCCAATCTTCAATCTGGGAATGAATATATTACTAGAGGTTCTAGTGGTTATAAGAGGAGGTAACTCTAGAATTTGCAGAGCTTATGAACAATTAAATTTGTTTTTCAAGGTAAATGGTGAATATATTTTTATTTTCCATAAAGAAAAATACAAATAATGTATTTTGAGGGAAAAATTATAGCATGATCATAGAGTTTAGAGGCCACAATAATGATTCTACTTTTTAAGTGGTTAGAAAGTTATAACATTTAAAAATGAAGTTATGTAAAATCATACTATAACAAGGCAGATGATACATTAGACACATAATATAACATTTAATTAACTGTGTGTAGGTTTACATTAACTATTTTTGTTTGAAGGTATTGTGGTTTAGATTAAATAGTTTCATCTAGGCGCCTTTGTAAGAGAAATACTTCTGCTTGAATCTTACAGGAATGGTTCTAGAATTGCCACTGGATCAGGTGTCAGAAACCTGGATGAGAAGTCCAACTCAGTCTAATTGGCTGAGTGTCATTAGGAAAGTCACGTAACCTGTATAATATGTTCCTGTTCTATATTGCCTTTGGCCACTTTATGAGAGTAAAAAAAATTATGCATATTAAGTACATTTGTAACATACAATTTAATGCCCACAATAGGAAAGAAGCAGGACTCATGCCCATCTCTACTAGACTTAAATCTCATGCTCTTAAGTAGGCAATATTTCTTATGTAATGATATATCCATTGAACCTACAATCGTGTCATTTCAATTATATCTATGCATGGTCTATGAGGAAATTTTCTTTCTTATTATCATTTGGCTCATTGAAATATAGAGCAATGGATGACATAATTAATTGTGGCACATCAGGTGAAGAAATAAAAACATAACCTCTGAGCCTTTCTCTATACAGAAAAGTATAGTCCATTATCTTTCTGACCTCATGTGGCTAATGTCCAAAACTGTGACTTTGTGCTGCTTACTCTATACTTACATTGTCAAAGGAAATACTGACCAACAGCTTCGAGAGCACCAAAAGCATCTAGCTACTCATTTATAATAAGACCTCATGTTTGACTTCCCTGCCTCTGCCGCTATTTCTTTAATTTATTTTTCTCTACTAAGGAAATAAATCATAAATTAAAAAAGTAATTTCTCAGTCTTTTCAAAGATATCTTACAGTTTGGGACACTGCATTAATAAATAAAACTGACTAGGGGTAGGAGCATTCTCTCCAACCTTAAAATTTGGAGCCACTTACATTACTCATTATTAACAGATTTGAAGAAAAACTGCTATCTGTCTTCCAAGTTAAGATCCTTGAACATAGATCAAGAATGGACTATATACTTCAAGAAAAGATAGGATATAGAACAAAGCCTTTTGACTATGCTAAGTCATTTTCTGCTGGATATTCAGGTAGGGTAGTTAGTCATTTTCCAATTATGTGTTCTACAATGAGTCACATTTACTCTGTAGGGCCGTTATCCCTCCATCTTCAGAGAAGAGATATTTTAGCTTTTTGTTCCATCAGAGAAAAGACCTTCGGAATCCCTATATAGGAGGAGTAGTGGGATGAAACTGCTTTTTTTCTCTAACACTCACTCACTATTAGTGACTGAGACAGGCTGACCCTCACTGGGTCATAGCGTACTAGCAGCCAGGGCTAGTGTACTGAAGCTGCTTGCTCGTGTCTGGTATAGTCTCCTGCTCTTTTTGATCTGCTCCTGTTCAGGAGTAGCAGACTTTGTGCTTCTAGTTTTCTTACTGTAGATTCAATGGGCAGGGAAACTCTACAGAGTAGATGGAAGGCACACTATATTTTCCAGTTTTTCTCCTCTGATGGAGGGTTAGAACAGCCCTGTTGTAAGGGCCCAGATGTCTTCAATTTGGGGAGAGAATAAGCATCCTCCTTTACATCCTTAGAACTAGCCTGTGCTCTCCAGTTCCAGTATTGCCAGGAGTACTTGATTCCCTATTTGGACACATGAACTTTGGCTGAATACTTTGGTTATGAAATTACAAACTAGTTGCCCTCAGGCTGAATATGGTCCACAGATGTGTTTTGTTGTTTACCTCCTTTTTTTAAAATTTATTTAAGCAATTCCATAATTGAGAGTACACAGGAAAATATAGATTTTTAGATTCTCTTGAAAAAAATGGGGAAATCTGGCAACACTGGGGCTTAATCAGTGGCAATAATCCAATGGAGCTGGGTACAACTATACTTTTTTGAAGTTGTTACAACAAGCAAATGGAAAGGACATTCTTGGGTGGGAGGGGAGAGAGGGAGGAGGGAGGGAGGTGTCGGTGATGGGCCATAATAATCTAATACATTGTATATTGACAAAATAAAAATTTAACGAAAAAAAAAAAAAGAGAGAAATGTGTGCTCTTCAGTTACCTGCAGGCCTAATGATCCCTATCATCTCCCTAAACTGAGAATCAAATGCAATGTTCTTTTATGATTGTGTGAAAATGTTTACAGAAAAGAACTACTTATCTGTGATTACTTCCTTGTACACATGGGTACTTAGACACAATGCATGTGTATTAGGCTTGCATATTGCCCCCTTTTCTCTTTTTTCTTATCTTCTGATCCTTGTAGGCACTTGAATTTACTATCCCTTATCAGCATCCTCAATAGGAAAAAGGGATTCAGGCACCAAACTCTATGCTACATCCCTTACAATACTGAATTTTTCAGCTGTCAGTTCTAAAAATATAATGAGGTATTTGCGTAAACTTCTAATTCATTTAAAACACTTTCTTACTGTTTTTTGGTTCCTTCCCAGATCTCTCCCAATATACGTCAGAAAGAAAATAAAGAGACACCTCAGCTTTCCTGGAACCTAAACCAAATCTCAACATCCTGAAATGAAATACTCTTCAGATATTAATTCAAAAAGCATAAAAGGCAGAAGGAAGAGAGGGAAGTAAAAATTTGTTAGTACAAATGAAATGGCATAAAAATATAACTTTATTGATGCTAACAACATCGGGCAGTTTAGAGAACACTAATTTACATTGAGATAGAGATAACATATCCCTGGGTGGGTATGTTTGGTTCTTTGAGGGGAAACGTGCTATAGGTTTTTTGTGGAGCTTAGTCCTACAGCTTCCACCAGAACCAACTCCTTTCTGTGATGCTCCCTTGGGATATATATACACCCTTTAAGTGTCATAGCCTAAGTACACCTGACTGACTCAACATAGAAAACATTTAAATTCTGAGCTCAGTTCTAAACCATGGGGCAAGATAGAGAGTAAGACTCTAGGCAACTTTCACATACTGACCTTCTAGGGCCCAAGAAGAGTGTGCTCTTCTGAGGCCGTTAGAGGCAATAATTCTGGATTCAGGTCCTTCAGGTCTTTTGTCTCCTAGAAATAAATAGTTTTTAAAAATCAATAAAAAGGACACAAATCTGATAGTCCATTAGATGATAAAAATGTCAGCTATCCCCATAGGTTCATGACATAAAGAGTGTAGGTAGAGATAACAGCCACCACCCACCACACACAGTAATTATAGGATATAAATGTCATTGTTACTGGATAAATCTGTGAAATGGTGAAGAGCAAGGGCTGAGATCTGGGGATCAGGGGGTTCCAAAATGCTGCCGTTTTGTATCCATTGGGTTTCTGACTCTTGGGGAACAGGCTTACAGAGGTGTGTCTCCCACTGAGGCTGGTTATGAATCTCTGCCCGGCTCTTGCTCCTAAGGTGACTCTCTCCTTCACAGTAGGTGACACAACAGCGACAGGCTGCAGAGGGCTTCCCTCGGTGCTTGGACATTGTGCCTGTGGCTGGAGGGGCACCTGCAGCCCTCCCTGAGCTCTGCAATTCTGGGGCCTCTTTCAAACGACTTCTTCTTTGGACGTGGTCCAGACTGATGTCAGACTGGGAAGAACAGCTCTCATTCCAGCCAGAGCTGGCACTCAGACTTCTCAGGGGAAGAGCCAACCGCAAGGCCTTCCAGAATTTGGAGCCAGAATGTTTAGACTTTTCTCCTTTCCAGCTCACAAAAGATACAGACTCCTTCAGCTGCAGGATGCCTGGGTGTGGATGCTCAAGGGGACGGTATTCAACCACAATGAGCTTGGTGGCAATGGAGTTCTGGCACATGACACCCAGTTTAAATTCCAGCATGCTGATGCTCTTTTCTGTCACATAGTCTGGGCTCAGGACAACAATCATCCTTCGGCTCCTCTGAATGAAATCAAAAACTGCTTCCACCGTATCTATAGGAAAATATAAAGATAGGATAGTGTCTTGTGAAAACTTACACACATTCCAGTTCATTATTGTTCATCCTACAAAGGACGGGCAGTGAATAAACACTTGAGAATACAGGCTCCCAGCAGTAAATAATCTACCCAGTCAAGGAAGCCCATCTACACTATTCCTAGCAATGGTTGCTAAGGATTTAATACCATAAGGATGGGGAGGAAGCTGAGCTCCATCTCTCTCCCCTACTGCAAAACCCCCATTGTGGTAGGACCCCTCCTGAATAAAGTCTTTCTTATTGTCAAAAAAAAAAAAAAAAAGATGAGAAATTAAATTAACCACATCCAAATGCAACTATTTGCAGCTATTTGCAAATTAATTTTTGTTTTGAAATCTTCTCTGCAACATTTATCTGATGGTCTTAGATCTGACCTCTGCAAATGTTTGAAATATCTTGCAACTATTGTGATGTCATTGCATTTTCTTCTTACCTCTTTATTAAATAACTTCAGAAGTTCTCTTTCTCCACATATGACATGGTTTCAAGTCTTCTCCCCACTTTTTACCTTTTCCTCTGTATAATATTCAGTTTATATATGTGTTTCCTGGGATTAGAGTTCTGAATAGGACTGAACATAATCTCCCCAACATAGTCTGATCACCAAAGAGCGATAGGAATTACCATCCGCCGAGATCCTCGCAGCTACGTTACTTGATATTTGGCATTTTTGGACACAACATCACACAGTTCATGGTATGGACCTTGTTGTCAACTAAAGTTCTCTCTCTTTCTTTGTGTGCATGTGTGAAGAATTGGCCTAAAAATTAGTTAAGCGGTAAAAACAATGACAATGAGTTAAAGTCAATTAGTTAAGACTTCTGGCGAACCATTCGATTCTAACAGTTACTGAGGTGGATTTGGACATATCCCAATGGAACATTCCTCAAATAAATGCTGTGCTTAACTACTGTGAAATTTAGGAGCTTAGACAATGTGATTTTCTGAAGGAAAGCTACTGACAACTCTGAAAGCATGCGCTGGGGATATACCATGCATGCGGTGAGTGCCTATGCTTTTGGCGCCAGGGGTAAAACAGTCATAGAGAGACTTTTCATCCTGTGAGAGATGCTGGAAGTTGGCAGTGTATTTGATCATGATGAACTTGACAGGGAGTGAGGGAGCAGCACTCCTCCCCAGATTAGTTCTTTCTGATCAGTGGATTTAACATGAATTTGAAGAAATATCAGAAAGACGTGCTCAATTTTTGAGAACTTGTGACTGGTTTTAACAAGAATGCAAAAATGTTTTAGAAAATTTTTGCTTGCATGTTAGAAGATAAATTTAAATTTTCACTTATCTTTAAAACCCCTGGGTGTGTAAGTGTGTAAGTGTGTGTCTGTGTTTTGATAATTCCTTTGTCATCTCTAGTCTTACTCAGGATCTTGTAAAGCTGCCTTTCACAAAGCAGAGAATATGAGAGTGAGAAATCTATTGCTTCTCTCAGCTCTTGAGAAATGTGAACTAACCTTAAGGCGACATGGCTAGCTTTTCAACAAAGGGAATTTGGGCAGTCAAATTGTGTGTGTGTGTGTGTGGGGGGGGGGTGTTTCACTTCAAATTAGTCACTTTAGGAAAATGTATCTTCTTTCCCGTGGGGAAACCACTGTTGATAATAAAACACTGTCCTAGATCTTCTTAAAAAATTTGTTTCCAGAGCATGTTGCTCTTTTTTTTTTTTCAGTACCCCATCTAGAAAGAAGGATTTATATTTGAAAGAGATCAATGCTGAATACAGATATGAGTGGTGGAATTCCAGACACTGAGGAACAAATGCTTCTCGAGTGGGGCTTGGGCTATACCTTGAAATCTTCATTTGATATTTTAATGGAAGCTGCCTCCTTTGTGGTATATTCTTTTAATATGTTCCATATTGTCAAAACTTCAGATTTGAGAGTGGGAGTTATTATTTTTTTAATGCTAAAGATTATTTGGAGATAGATTCATAAATTAGAATGTTTATGCTATTTGGCTCAAAAACTGAGGTGTGGCTATATAGTACTAAAATCAGTTTTCTTGTTCGGTACTCAATTGGCTTTAAAATCATGTTTTCTGATTGAGAACTTTTCAATACTCAGAGATACTCTTGCTGTCAAAATCTCCCTGGAATTCACCCACAAGAAAACTTTTGATCATGATGAACTTGACAGGGAGTGAGGGAGCAGCACTCCTCCCCAGATTAGTTCTTTCTGATCAGTGGATTTAACATGAATTTGAAGAAATATCAGAAAGACGTGCTCAATTTTTGAGAACTTGTGACTGGTTTTAACAAGAATGCAAAAATGGTTTAGAAAATTTTTGCTTGCATGTTAGAAGATAAATTTAAATTTTCACTTATCTTTAAAACCCCTGGGTGTGTAAGTGTGTAAGTGTGTGTCTGTGTTTTGATAATTCCTTTGTCATCTCTAGTCTTACTCAGGATCTTGTAAAGCTGCCTTTCACAAAGCAGAGAATATGAGAGTGAGAAATCTATTGCTTCTCTCAGCTCTTGAGAAATGTGAACTAACCTTAAGGCGACATGGCTAGCTTTTCAACAAAGGGAATTTGGGCAGTCAAATTGTGTGTGTGTGTGTGTGTGTGTGTGTGTGTGTGTGTGTGTGTGTGTGTGTGTGTTGTTTCACTTCAAATTAGTCACTTTAGGAAAATGTATCTTCTTTCCCGTGGGGAAACCACTGTTGATAATAAAACACTGTCCTAGATCTTCTTAAAAAAGTTGTTTCCAGAGCATGTTGCTCTTTTTTTTTTTTCAGTACCCCATCTAGAAAGAAGGATTTATATTTGAAAGAGATCAATGCTGAATACAGATATGAGTGGTGGAATTCCAGACACTGAGGAACAAATGCTTCTCGAGTGGGGCTTGGGCTATACCTTGAAATCTTCATTTGATATTTTAATGGAAGCTGCCTCCTTTGTGGTATATTCTTTTAATATGTTCCATATTGTCAAAACTTCAGATTTGAGAGTGGGAGTTATTATTTTTTTAATGCTAAAGATTATTTGGAGATAGATTCATAAATTAGAATGTTTATGCTATTTGGCTCAAAAACTGAGGTGTGGCTATATAGTACTAAAATCAGTTTTCTTGTTCGGTACTCAATTGGCTTTAAAATCATGTTTTCTGATTGAGAACTTTTCAATACTCAGAGATACTCTTGCTGTCAAAATCTCCCTGGAATTCACCCACAAGAAAACTAGGACTATAACTTTATTCTTTGTAGGTTATTGGTAAATAAAAAGAATCAAGCCTCTTTTTTTAAATCTCTCTTTTTCTCTCCCTCTCTCCTAAACTTGAAGTATACTAAGAAAAGGAGCACCTAATCTGGAAGATGGATTTGAATTCAAATCTTGGATTCTCTATTTATCTCTGTTTTTATCTTAATATTTTTGAGTCTGAATTCATCTATCTTTAAAATGCCCATGATGAGAGCAAACTTGTAAAGCTGTTGAAGAAATTAGAGATATCTAGATGTTAATGTCTAGCACACAGTAGACATTTGAATAAATCACTTTGATTAAACTATTATTCAATATCCAGTGAACATAATATCAAAATAATACATGAATTGTTTATTAAATCTGTATACATTTTTAATGCTAACTTTAGAACATCACCTTACCATGTGAATTTAAAGTAATAGGGCTTAAAAATTCCATCAAATCAGTTTAAAATAGATGTAAATAAAAAGTACTACTGAAACACTCAATCCCCCTGACCATTGCTAAATTTACTTTATATCGCTTGTGTAGGAAAAGAGAAGACAGACTAGTGTTTCTCATACTATACTGTGAATTTACTTGTTTCAAAGATCTATATCAATAAATGACTGAAGAAAATATCTTGAGAATTTTAATAAGGGCAGTAATAGCCAGGTAAATGATGTCCAAACTGCTGATAATGAATCTTTTAAGTAGTCACCACTGTGTTCTGGGAGGTCAATTGAGATGGTCAGGGTTAGAAGCAACTTCAGACTCATCACTGCCTATCCAGTTCAAAAAGCCCTTATTCTAAGCCACAGTAAGCATCTATCAAATCTCTGCTGTGTATCTCTGGTAATGGGGAACCCAGTACCTTCAAAAATAGTGAAGTTAATTATCGTTCAACTCTACTTTAGAGTTCTTTCCTAAATGCGTAGAAATCTGTTTCCTTGTAATTTTGATCCATTGACCCTAAGTCTAACCTTTGGGGACTGGTTTGCAAGAAGAAAATTCTTCAGTAGAAAATTTTTTACTAAGCTAACCAGTTCACAACAGGTTACATGAACTCAATAAATTTTTTCTGAACAAATAAATGAATAGTTTTTTTAAGCAAGAAGCCATCCTGTCACTATGAACTTAATATTATTAACTCAAAAACAAAATACATCTCCAAGTATACATAACTGATTTATTCAAAATTTGTGATAGAGATGCATTTTTTTTAAATTGAAATTATCATCTATTAACTAAAGTCAGGGCATTAATAATACATCTCCAAGTATACATAACTGATTTATTCAAAATTTGTGATAGAGATGCATTTTTTTAAAATTGAAATTATCATCTATTAACTAAAGTCAGGGCATTAATTTTTTTTTATCTCATTTCAAAGCAACTGCCTTGGGGTTGCATTAAAGCCTATAAAAAAGTAAGGTATTCCTATAAGCTACCCAAGTTCCAAATCGAACAAAAAAGAATTGGCTTGTGTCTTTGTTTTAAAAGGATTTCTCTCTCCTTCTCTCTCCCTCTTTCTCTGTGGGTTGTCTCTGTATCTCTCTGTTTCTCTGTCTGTCTCTCTCCATACACACACACACATGCACACGCACACACACATACACACACACACAAAGATGTCCTAATACTCTGGAAATTAATTCTTTTCAACATATGTAAAGGAAATGTTCTTCATATGACGTTCCCATTTTTCTCAGATTTCTCTCAGAAAGAAACTTAACTAATATTATTTACTACATTTCTTTG